TTACTTTCAGGTTTGCTGTTCAAATGGCAAAAAACACAATAGTTACTTTTATGCTATGGCTTGATCAGTTTATGTTTCAGTTTTCAAATCAGGAACTTATTCCTTTTAAAACACACCAACATAATTTTAATATTTTCTGTGTAGTTCCGATTAGATCCAAAAGGGGGCAGTACAAATCAAGCCAAACTTTAAAGTGTAAACTCTTTCTTCCCTTTAGCAAATATTTCTGGTTTTATTGCAAAGCTTAAAGGATCTTTGTTCTATTGAACTGCATAAAAGAGAATAAAACTGCCTTTTGTTAAAATGTTCACTTCACTCTGAGATTACGTTTGTCTTGCTTCTTTCTGCAGATGGAGCACAGCCTGCATGTATTCAGCTGCACACCMGTCTGTGTCTGATCACTTAGCCCATGTTTGCAGGTTGAAGTGACAGCTCTTTCTCAACACCATCAAAATGTCACGTTTTGATTTCATTTCCAAGCGACGTGTCTTTGAAGGTTTATAAAACACAGATTTGTCCTTTTTTGCAGAGTTTTGGCAAATCCAGCTATGAAATAGCTCTGTTTTTTTTGTTTTTGTTTTTTTTTACAGGTTTCTGGTGCTGATCAAACGTGCCAGGCTGTCAGGGCTGATGTGCAAATCTCTGTGCTGGTTCTGAATCAGAGAGGACATTTTCTCTTTGTAGATTTCCAGAATCGACCTCTCAGATCTTGAGCCACGGAGAGGGGGGGGRTGTTTGTGGAGTTTTTTTGGACGTGGAAGTTATCTGGGATCAGTGTGGTTACTGACAGGACGGCTGCAGAGGCTAAGCCTGACAGAGCTGGAGGCCACTGCGCTGGGAGTGGGGGTCTATACTCTGCCAGCTACTGTCTGTAACAGATAAAGACTTTGGTGGTCTCAGGAACCGAAAGGTTACTTTTCACCTGCCTAAAGAAATTTCCACAACATACATGTCATTGATAAAGATAGTTGGGGTAAAAAAATTCTTTCAGCATTTCATTTTACTTGTTGAATAAAATAAATGCAAATAGAGTTACATAGCATCAGCACCACAGCATGATACTACCATCACTATGCTTGACAGTTAGGAGATCATAACCCTCATTATGACCCCTATAGACATATTTTTGTTAATGTGGCCTTAACATTAATGACCTAATCTTTGCCTTGTTTGATCATAAATAAAAAAGCATCCAGAAGGTATTTGGCTTGTTTGAATTAAATGTACTCATGTACATTTGTTTGAACTGAAATTTGTCTAAACGTCTGACATCAACAGTATGAAAGCTCTCTCTTTACCCCTYACAGTCACATCAAACAGATGACATCAAAACCAGCTCCATTCTTTGACAGAAACTAAAACAGATGAAATAAAAAAATGTTTTGAGAAGAGAATGGTCAATATGATTTAGGGATGTGGTTTCTGTGATTTTACCCTTTTGTTTATAATAGTCTAAAGAGCTGTGTGCATCCAGTCATGTGTGCATAGACGTGGTGTTCCCTGCCAACATGATGCACTTTGTTGGGCTTGGTTCGAAAGCCCAGCTAAAGTAATAAAATCACACCGCATTACGGATTTTGGCAAAGCAGCGGCATCCATGTATTCCATGGATTTGGCATCTGTTTCGCTTGGAAAACTTGAAAGTGGGGAATGGGAGAGCAAAGGATATACAGAGAGAGTGGGAGGTGAGCGAGAGCGTCGTCCAGTGGAGCCAGGACAAAAATTTATGGTCAGGAAGAGCGATGAATGTGCAATTTATGGTGCATACTCCACCACTCCCCCTGCCCTCCCGTTTAGTAATGAGAAACGGCTGTTTTGTTGTGGGGCCACTGCTTGGTGCCCCCCTTCCATCTGGCTATGACACACCATTAGCTTTTATTTCTGTCTCTGCTTTTACGACCCCTGCCCAGGCGCCAGCATTTGGCCAAAGATCGTGGCCATCCTATCACACCATCTAAGCTCTTCCACCTCCCAGGAAGGCTTCTAGTATCCTGAGAMGAAAAGAAAAAGTCAGAGCAAAAGTCAGAGCTGCAGAAGACACTTTTAATGGAAGATGGACACATCCAACTCAACAGAATTTTATATATAAATATTTTTTTCAGACAATGAGATTTTATTTTTAATGTAAAAACTGTAACAGGGGTGGAGTCAGCGGGGTGGTCAGGGTGTGACACTTCTGTAACTTGCTTGGCCTCTTCAGGTGCCACACCCGAATAAGTGACAAGTGGATGTGGGTTTTGTATTTGCATTTAGATTTTATCAAAGATTGTTCACTGATACCAGTATGCTGTGTAAATGATCAGCTGTGTGTTTAAAAACAGCTGAATATTATAAAATAGCATTAGCATTTGTGTTTATCTTACTGTCTGCAATGGGAATGTGATCATTCCTAACCACTCCACAACCAATTTAATTTCAGTGTTAAAATGGCTAAATAAAAAAATAAAAAATTCCCTTCTCACCCTCTGCGGGTGGTCTCTTTCATCCTCTGAGCTCGGGTCCTCTACCAGAGGCCTGGGAGCTTGAGGGTTCTGCGCAGTATCTTAGCTGTGCCTAGAACTGCACATTTCTGGACTGAGATGTCTGATGTTGTTCCTGGGATCTGTTTGGGGATGACTGCCCCGAGGGCCCTGATGAACACAGGCACCACTATGGTCTTCACCTTCCAGGTC